TTCTAAGGAGGGGTGTTACGCGTTAAGCCGTGAAATTAATATTTATTTATTTATGGAACGTTCGTTAAAAACCAGAAGCCGAACCGCAATTTGCTTTAGAACTAACAAAAAAAAAACGAACAACAAACCTTGTAAAACTTTTGTGATTCATCGAGTTCTTGTGAAAAGTAGGTCTCTCGAATCAAATATAAATGATTGTCAACAAACAATTGAAAAAAAAACAACAATAAAATTTAACCATTTGTTTTTTTGTTGTTGCATAGAAATAGATAAATATTTAATTGTTAAAATGATGTTATAATATTGCGATTCGTTAATTGCCGCATTGAGTCTGGTTCATATATTTAATTGCGGCTGTTAAATATTGACGGAGGTTGCGTATTAATATTTATAGCGGAAGTCAATTATAGATATAATTAAGATAGACATCTCGGAGCGAGATGAAGGCTTTAAGTATAATTAGTATATAGATTCGTTATGTAAATGAATTACAAAATGACAAACTTATTATTTTTAACATCTTGCGTATATTTCCAACATGAGCATGACTCAAAGCTGCACATATATATAGAGAGAAAATCAGTTAAGAAAAAAAAAGAGATATAAATGGGATAGTGTAGACTGGGCGTCGTTTCGGTGCATTTAATTGAATTACATAATTCGTTTCACGTATCTCGCGTTTAGGTGAAACATATTTAATTCGGTTCATTAGCATATATCCGTGTAGCCACGAATTCGAATGAATTCGACGACGAAAAAAAATATAAAATAAAAATAGAACAGAACAGAACAGAGACACAACAGCTTCGGCCTTTTGGAACATTTTATTTTAAAGGTTAAAGTGACTAACGAGTGTTACGTCAATGCTGTTGTATGTTGTTCATTGAGAATCCGAGCGCACCAATTTCACTTGAATATTACATTATTTATAATGCAATTATGAAGTAACTCGCTCATCTTCTATTCATGACTCTCCATACAATATTCTGACTGATGCACGACGATTAATAATTTTGAAATAAACGTTATGGAATAGTAAATTATTCCGTGGACTACGAATGTTGCTAAATTATGTTGTAATCTATGGAGCTAAGAATATTGTAAAGGACAAATGTGCTTTACAAATCTTGCCAAAATCTGTAGTTCTATATGCAGCTGCAAATGTTGCAAAAGTCTGCCATGGTCTCTGGTATTAAAAGTGTTTTAAATGACTGTGATCTATGAATGTGGCTAAATACTACCGTGGTCTAGAAATGTTGCTAAATTCTGTTAAGGTCTATGGTGTAAAAATGTTATAAAAAACTACCGTGGTCTACAAATATTGTCAAAGTCAGTACATTCTACAAATGTTCTAGAAATCTGCCTCGGTCTATGGTACTACGAATGTTTCAAAATACTACCGTGGTCTACAAATATTTCTAAAGTCTGCCGTTGTTTTTGCTGGTACAAATGTTAAAAAATTATATAGACCACTATTATTAAAAACGTTGCAAGCGATTGCGATCTATAAATGTTTACAGTAAACTAAGAATGTTGATAAAGTCTGCCGTTATCTATGGCACTAATAATGTTGCAAAAGACTGCAATATTCTAGAAATTATACTATATTCATTTGATCATAGGCCACGATCTAATGTTGAAAAAGTCTACAGTGTTCTACAAATGTTGTAAAATCTGCCGTAGTCTATAGTGCCAAAAATGTTGCCAAAAAACTATCATAGTCTACAAATTTTGCAACAGACTACAGTAATCTAGGAATGTTCCTAAAGTATACCGTGGTCTATGGCGCTAAGAATGTTTCAAAAGTCTACGGTGAACCACAAATGTAGCTAAAGTCTGTCGTAGACTATTGTACCAAGAATGTTGCAAACGTCTACCATAGTTTAGAAATGTTGCTATATTCAGCCGTGGTATATGGTTCTAAGAATGTTTTAACCGATTACAGTAATCTAGGAATGTAGCTAATGTCTGACGTAGTCTATGATGTTAAGAATGTTGCAAAAGACTTAATCTAGAATTGGTGCTCTATTCTTCCGTCGTCTATGGTGTAAAACTGTTGCAACAGTTTACAGTAAAGTAGGCTAAAGTCTGACGTAGTTTATGGTGCTATGAATGTTGCAAAAAGTCTCCGGTGATCTATAAATGTTGCTACAGCCTGCTGTTGGCTATGATGTTAAGAATTTTGCAAAAAAACTATCATAGTCTACAAATATTGCTATATTCTGCCGTGGTCTATGGTTTTACTGTTTTAACCGATTACAGTAATCTAGAAATGTAGCTAATGTCTGACGTAGTCTATGATGTTAAGAATGTTGCAAAAGAATTAATCTAGAGTTGGTGCTCTATTCTGCCGTCATTTATGGTGCAAAACTGTTGCAACAGTTTACAGTAAAGTAGGAATGTTGCTAAAGTCTGACGTAGTTTATGGTGCTACGAATGTTGCAAAAAGTCTCCGGTGATCTATAAATGTTGCTACAGCCTGCTGTTGGCTATGATGTTAAGAATTTTGCAAAAGTCTATGGTGGTTTACAAATGTTGATAAGGTCTGTCGTGGACTATCATAACAGTCGTTAACTGGTGGTCCGCGAGATAATTTTAGTGGTTCGCACAGTAATTTGAATATATTTCCAATTTTTGTTTTTGTTATATTCTGATTCAACTTTTTATTCGACTTCATATTTAGAAACTTATTTTCAAAGCAAAAAATTCATGGTAGTGGTAAGCGGGAATCAATATTTTGAGTTTGGTGGTCCGTGAGGTCAAACAGGTTGGGGGTTGGGGACCACTGGTTGATGTTTCTAAAAATGTTGCAAAAGTCTATGGTGGTTTGCGAATGTTGCTAAAATTGGTCTATGATGTTAAGAATGTTGCAACAGACTACAGTAATCTAAAATTTTTGCTAAAGTCTGCCTTAATCAACGGTACTAAGGATGTTGCAAATGTCTATAGTGCTAAGAATGTTGACCTAGGATTATGGTGCTAAGATTGTTGTAAAAAAAAACTACCATAGTCTAATAATGTTTTTAAAATTTGCAGTAGTCTACGAATAATGCTAAAATTTGCCGTTGCATTTTGTACTAAAACTAATCTTAATAACTATAAAAATTAACTTATCCAGTACAATATCCTAACCAAATTTGTAACTTAAAAACAAAACTTTCTATCTTAAGCTATAATCACAATTGTTAAACAAATATATAAAATGCACATTTCTTTAAGAAATTATATAACTCTCGGCATCGGCAAACTTCTTATGTTTGTGTACTATTATTAAATATGTTTTTTCGTTCTACATCTGCTTATTACTATATTTTATTAAAGGTACTTTTTTTTGTTTATATCCATTTGCCTTTCAAACATTTCCAGATTAAATTAAAAAAAGAGAACAATGAGCAAACACTGTTGATTTTCACGGCTAATAAACACATTGCGGTGAGTAAAATTCCGCAGTTTTTTTTTACACGATTAAGTGGTCAATTGAAATAAACATACAGAAAAAATGGAATTCATCATAACAATTTTGTTCCAAGAAAATGCCGCGTGTTATTCGAAAAAAAAAAAACGTTGGTCCAAAATTAATAAGACATATTTAGTCAAAATTGTACCGTTTCGTATGCAATAACATCCTCGATAATATGAATTTCGCCTAAAGGAAGCAATAAATTATATGAATTTTGCTATTTCTTCTTTACTTTTTTTTTCTGTGCTCAATCGCCAATTTATCGATATAACGGTATTTGTTTTCAAAATATTATCGTGCGGCTTTGATTTGATCGTCAGGTGCTAAAGTTGAAAATACCGTTTTTATGTGTTTTTTTTATGGATTTGTTATAGAAGAAAGATTTTAAAATTTTAATACCTAATAAGAAATAGTATTTTGTGAATTAATAAATATTGAAATTATTTTAAAATTTTCTGTGAATCTGTGTTTTTACAATCGTTTGCTTCTTTGTACAATTTTTTTAGTTGGCTGTCGTCTTGTATTAATATTAGGTCGTTAAGTATGAAACGTCCGATTTTGAACTGAAAGTTTGGTTTATTATATCTCGAACAAGAAGAAGTATAATTTACTAAAGTACTAGTGCGTAAGGTATTTGAGGACAGATATATGTTCGCCAAAACATTAACAAATATTATAAAAGACACTATATTTCTTTGTAAAATCATTCAATAAAACCACCGTCAGCATTAACAACTGCCTCTATCTATGATGTAAATAGTCGACAAGCTTGAATTACATGATTTTGATTTAAAATAGACAGTACTCTGACTATAGCAGCTTTTAAGGGATCTTAAGTTTTATGTGGGTATTCATTGACTTCTCACCGACGCGCTGCACATCTAGAATCCAAGGGATTGAGAGTTAAGAGTTCTTTTGCAAGTGACCATATTGATTTTCTGGAATCATAACCTATGGTTTGTTGCAATGATTCTCAAAGTGAGGGTCGCGAAAAGTATTTGGGGTGTAGCAGAAAAATTGATGATAGATCAATCCGGGATGTTTTTCTACACATGCCCATTCTTTGGGAGGGAATTGTTCTCGTTCTATTAAAGCGTTTAAAATATTTTTTTACGCTTGAGCACTTCTGATATGTTGCCATCTTTGTTCTCCAACTTCTTAAAGACTTTATAAACGAATGATGTAGAGTCTTCAGAAACCACGATATTTCCATGATCAGTTTTTAAAGCAACAATTACAGCATGTGTTTTCATTTCATTAGTCATTCTGAAAAATATAATGTATTAGAATATAGTACTACCAAGAAAAAGTATGCCATTAAATACCTAACATACTCTGTATGTGCCTAAATATGTTTGGAAATGCTGTAGCTCTGTTATTTTCAGATTGAAATATAAAATAACTATTAAACTAAACCAGAATATAAATCTAGATACGTGGAACCATTATAACCCAATAATTAATTAACTAATTAGAAAATGCATTCTAAAAAAATATTATTTAATTTTATAAGCGAAAAGAATATTTACCATTTGTTTGCATTTTATTATATCATTTCGCGAAGTTGCTTCCTCAGTAACTTCCCTGTAGAACTTTTGGGTAGTTTGTCGATGAACCTTACACCGCCGTGCAGATGTTTTTGAACGGAGATACGTTCTGAACATAATAAAATAAAGAATCAATCAAAAATATACATTTGTACAATATGTTTTTTTGCATACATTTTGATACATGATTTTATATTAAAAAAGTTTCGATTTCGATTTACACGTTATTATATCAATATACCGTATAAATCTGGGGATAGGTGTATTTCAGAATTGATATATAGAGAGGTATATAGTATCTTACCTGCAACATAATCTATAACATTTTGTTCGGATAGCTTAGAGTTTTTCACTTTGACAACGAATGCCATTGGTAGTTCGCCAGCTCTTTGATCTGGTACCCCAACAACTCCGGCATCTACTATCACGTTGTGAGACCTAAGAACATCCTCCAATTCTACAGGAGAAACCTTCACAGTTTTCTTTAGTTTGAAGTTAATCTTACGCGAACTAACTCATACCTGAAAGCTTTTGTATTTGATCAAATCTTTCAATCTGTCAATAATGAAGAAGTAACCTTCTTCATCAAAATAACCGATGTCGCCGGTATGCAAGAAACCTCGTTCGTCTATAGTGGCTCGAGTTGCTTCGGCATTTCCTAAATACTCTTTCATAACCAGATCGCCCTTTACGCAAATTTCGCCTGGCTCATTTGCGCCTAAGGTATTTTTCGTTTGAGAATCAATCACTGCGATTTCTACATCAGACAGTGGCGTACCGATGCTTCCTGGTTTGCATTTTTTCCCTAGAACGCAGGCAATTGCAATGCCGCTAACCTCTGTCATTCCATACACTTGTCGCACCGCACAGTTGAATCTAAATATAAGAATATTTATAAAAATTATATCCAATGCATAACAATAACGTACTTTTTCTCCAAAATAGTTTGAATTTCATAACCAAGAGCAGCACCAGCGCAAATGATGTCTTTAACAGACTTTAAATTATATTTATCAACAATGGGATGTTTGGCAAGGAAGTCGCCAATCGATGGAACAATTAACAAAAAAGACAACTTATATTCTTCTATAATCTCACAAAACGGAACAGGTTCAAATTTCGGAAGAAGAACAATCTTAGCACGATAATTAAAAATTGTTATTGTTTGCAATAACCCTAAAAAGTGATAGAAGGGCATCAATCCTATAACAACGGTATCAGACGAATACGAAATAAATGGATACCTAAAACGAAATACATCAGTAATAACAGATTTTATATATTTGTAAACAAATACTTCAAATGGTTCATTGTAAATTTCAAGTTTCCTTGTGTTATAACCACTGCTTTTGGTTGTCCCGTTGTACCAGAAGAATTCAGAATTGCTGCCGTCTTTCTATCGCAATCCGAAAACTTTTCAATTGATTCCAAAATTGCATCACCATTTATAATATCCAAATAGTTATCATCGAAATTTATTATATCCTTGAGGTAATCCGTATAGCTCTGCAGTTCTATTATTTTCCTGATATTGTTGTTCGAAGTGAAAATAACTTTAGGTTTGCTATTTCTATAAGCAAACTTCAATTCAGCTAAAATAAAGAAAACAATAACATTAATTATAGGAAATTAATTAAATATATCTTCTTTACATATAAGATAACTAGAACTCGTCGGATGAACGATGGCGCTTAGATAGAAGCACGCAAAGATTGGTACAAAATACTCTAAGCGGTTATCGCTCACAATTCCCACGACGTCTCCTTCCTTGATACCCATATCTTTCAACTTACGAGCAGTTTTCAAACTCGCGACGAACAATTCTCTGTAGGAAATTCTTTCGTTGTTAACTTTATTGATCTGAAAACAAAATCTATAATTGTATACCAAGTTTGCTAGTCGCCTATATTTACCATTGCTATCGTTTTAGCGTCAATTGCTTTCAAGTTTTGGTAGAAAATTTCTCCCAGATTCTGAGAAACAAACGACTCCATCTTAATGGGAGACAAGTATAAATAGTTTTGAAATAAAGTTAGCATAGAACAATGTTTTTATAGATGTTGATTTGCATACTATTTTATTAAAATCAGACCAATTATATAGCCATTACATACAGAGAATTGTAATTAGAAATGAAACAACTACAAACATGCATTAGTTGTTGATAATAAATAAGTAACAATTCTTGTTAATGTAATTGTATGAAGAGAAATTCAACAATTAGCTATAATGAAAATATTTTATTCAAAACTGATTCTTCAATGCTTCTTAGTTGCTTTTGAACAGCGGTCGTCAAACGGTAATTTGCGAGGAGGATTTTGTCAGCAGAGTAATTTCTATATACAGCTAAACACCGATTATCCGGTTCTCGTCCTTGCTTGTACGAGGGTAGTCCCAGAAGTACCCGATCTAACAAAGAAAACACAAAAAAATGGAAAAAATATCTTTATATCTCGAAACACTTTTCCCAGCGATTTTCAATAGCTTCGATACCCTCTTTGTAGTGAGAAACTTCGAGCTCTACAAAATAGCCAGTAACCGCAGACTCCTCTTCATTGTTGACAAAAAAATTCATCACCTCGCTATTTATTTAAGTTTGGAAAGAGAATATAATCCGAGGGGACTAAATCTGGTGAATAGTGTGCGTTAGGAAGCAAATTGAACTTTTAACTCATTGATTATGGCCATCGCAATAACAGATGTGTGAACTGGTGCATTGTCTTGATTGTGACCAAACGCAGCACCCATCTTGCACAAGTTTCTCATCTCCAAATTTAATATGCGACATACAGCACTTTTTAAATGCCTACCATATCTGATAACTTGCGCACTTTCAGTAGACGGTCATCCAAAACTATTTTATGGATTTTCTTCGCCATTTCTAGCGTGGTCACCTCATTTGGTCGACCACTGCGATGTTCGACTTAGCAGATCGTACGACCTAGTTTAAACTCTGTTACCCATTTTTTTTTGTTGTAAACCAAGGAGCAGACTCCTCTAGAGTAGAATCTAGATCGGCTTTGAAATTGGTTGGACTGAGACCTTTTACATGAAAGTATTATATCACATATGACCAATTTTGTCCATATTTACAAATTCACTGACAGCGTTCACTATTGATGGCTGTCATAAATACTAAACAATGTAGCGTTTTCAAACTTTAGCTTTATAAGCTTGATACTTTTGATAAAAATAGTTTTTTTTTTCAAACAAAAACCGCCATTTACAAGTGAGGTCGGGTACTTCTGGGACTCTATGTCCTCGTTTAACAGATTGGCATGGATTTCTGTTGTCGATAAACTTTTTAAAATAAATAAAAATTTTGCTATGTGTTAATAACAGATGATATATTAAAAAAAACGGAGAAATTTTTATTTTATTACTCTACACTATACGAGGGCACTTGTTTCGAAATTTTATTAAAACTTACTAAAACTTATTAACTAAATTACCTTTAATTCCTTAAAAATAAAAATTCAACATTTAAATCAACGTTAGTCAATTCATCATGTAGTTTGCATAGTAATCGATAATGTAATGATAGATAAATTATTCATGAATACCAAACAAGTATAGAATCGTCGCTATGCCATTGGTTATTACGTTTTTTTTTTGTTATTATGTCCTATAGTATTATTATTATTACATTATATTCCTGTGAAAATTAAGTAAATCTTATGGCGGTTGAAATTTGTTTTTTCCCAATGGAAGTTTTACCATTATTTTCTTCTTGTTTTAATATGTTAGTTGGCTGTCGTCTTGTTAAAACATAATTAAAAAATTACTAATCCAATTTCAAGTTTATATTCATCTGATTACATAAGCTTAAGCTAAAACTAATATTATTTGAAAGGCGTAAAAGACACGTCTTATTGATTGAAAGCTGTGTTTTTTTTAATGTAGATTGTATGTCATTGTTGAATATAGGTTAAGTCAGGTTAGATTACGGTAGGTTAAGTTAGATCAATTTAAATTTGATGAACATATCTTATTTGATTATAATTTTGCGCCAGAAATAACTCCCATATTACGAAAAATCACTGTCGCTGATATCACTTGGATGATATAATTATTAAAACTTAAAGTAAAAATAGTTTTCTTTATATCTACATTTGGGAAATAAAAAGTTTTTGGTGATAATTCATACCATTGTTTTTTCTTCAATTGTTGTCGGAGTTATGCGACTGTAGTATATTTTCATAAATTACAAAAATGTTTTAAATTTCTTTTCCTACATAGATATTCCACAATTGTGTAAGAGATTTGGTAACAGCAAAGAGTAATTCTTAGATAAAACTTTACATAATAATAATGCAACTAAAAGAGTAAAATCCGCTTTCTTTTGCGCTCATTAAATGTATATTATTTTAATTACGTGTTGCGTTTGGATGTGTCTCGTTACGTTTTATAGGTCATTTGCAAAATTTTAATAGCATTGTCACCTAATTCGTATGTGTTTAATAACTTCCAACATTGTAGCATCAGCATAATCCGCATCGGAGCTTTTGGTTGCACGGACAACGAACAATGGGTTAACTAGACGAAACTTACAGTAAATGTTGTGTGTGTCGGGTAGTCATTCTATTATTAGGAACTTTGTTTAATGCACGAAAATACATGCATAAATCGGTGACAAAAGGCGTGCAGCATATTATATTATCTCTATTCATAAATATTAGGCGTAAAATTAAATGCAAATTTATCGATTGCATCTGTAATGAACGTTTATTTATTACATGTGAAGCATTCTATCTCAATTAAATTCGACTTTCTAAAAATAGATGGAATTATCGGCTTTAGTAATTTTTTTTTCAATTTATAATTATTGCTTTCGCAATCAGCAAGTATTGAAACAAAATTCACAATTTTTGTTTATTGTAAATGTTAGTATTTAATGTTATCTATTAACAAAGAATTGAAGAATCTTATACAATTATTCATTCAGCATAATTCACTGTAACATCTAAACTTTTTATTGAAGAGGAAAGAAAACCTTGCATAGGAAGCACCTATGGTGAAAAGCAAGAGACATCTAAAAAAAAAGGGCATTCTGAATTTGAAGCCCCAACTAACCCTTATTTCGTGGGGCAAAGGGTATTCGCCAGTATCTACCAAAAACTCTCACCTTCTTCATCCGCATCAAGGTCCGGTAATTTGATAAATTTCCGCAATGCAGATTATTTTTGCTAGCAAGGACTTCACTTCAACGTGTTATTTTTTCCATCCGCCGCTGGTAATCTTCCTTAATAAATAGCACTACTGATAAGTATCTTGCTACTATGTCCCACATTTATTGGCTTTTCCGCGACATCCAAAGAACGTGTGTTCTGTGCTGTCAACTACTTCGCAGTACCATTACCGCTATTCATCCTCGCAATGAAGTGAAGATACTTGCCGAAGCACACATGAACGGAAAGCACTTGACCTAGATGGAAACTTGTTACACCGTGCTTTCTTGAAATCCAGGGTTTTATTTCTAAGATTAGAGGTTGGGTCCATGCTCCCTTCTCTGAGATATCCCATTTTTCCTGCCACTTCTCCAGCAGACTAATACTACCAGTTTTCTTGTTCACTCCTCTCTACCTCTCACATCTCTCTCTAAAGATTGGTAGCATGCCAGCAGATCATATGCTGGACTTTAAAGGGCTTTTATATAGATCTGCACCTTCTGCTACTCTGTGCAATCAGACTACTTAGAGCTGTAGTGCCCTGTGCTGCTCTGATGGCCACTGCCCTAATGTGCTAGTCTGCTATTGACAGATACACCAAGATAATTGATGGCTTTCTTTGGCTTGAAACTATGAAATTTCCTGTCAGTTTTTATTTATTCGGGCTCAAGATTCAAACCTCTCTTTTCCATTCATCCACAGTTTAGAAAGTAGCCGTATGTTAGGTTTTACAGGTTTTTATTTCCATTACTTTCTCGCCCTAATCGCTCGCGATCCTAATGGACCGCTTGTTGAGGTAGCTTTTTATTACTTTTTGTCAGGTTGGTGCCAATTCTTATTTCAGCAAGGCGCAAAGTTTTGTCGTGGCCGACCATTTTATTATCGTCTATTGTATAACTAATATGTATATTTGTTAGGGCCATGACTTTCCTCTTAATTATTAAAAATCATATTTAACGTATCCATCAAATATACAAACGGATACTTGTACGTGATTATTTAGAATAACTTGTGGAATATACTTTACATCGTATAGTTGCGTCTATTGTATCACTACTTAATAGCCTTCTTCTGCCCCTAAATATTTGGGTAGGATCATAAAACTTAGATAAAGAAACGCTTGTATATTCCACAATCAGGGGACCGAATAGAGAGCAAGTCTTAGTTAGGGGACCGAACTGAGAGGAAGTCTTAGTAAGAGGGTCCAACGAAGAACATGGTCTTACTTGGGAGAGTCCTAGAAAGAACCTACTCCTAGTAACAGTTCTAGTTTGGCCCTACTCTTGACCAGTAACCTATGCTGGTAGCAACTGGAAGCTAGATTAAGAATCACCAGCATATAAGTGTTAAATAAATACTATTATTACACTGACTTTAATCTAGACTTCCATAAAATCCACTAGGACTCCACATCGACAATACTACAAAGTATTTCACAGTGTCCAGAGATATTCTATCCCGGGACACGACAGTTTTTTCTTGCATCAATTGTGGACCTGCCCTGTCTGAAGCCGTTTGGTTAACAGTTGTTCATACAGTTTTCCATGATTCCAAATATCCATGAGGATTCACGTGATTACCAACTACTTATGTAGTTTAATTTTAATAATTGCTTATAACATTTGCGAAATACACGCAATTGAATTGTTTGCTAAATACTTTTATTACGCAATTGTTGCAACAAAGCTAAAATCATTTTTAATTAGTTCCACGTCGTTCCTCAATTGTCTATTATTGTTTTTTTCTTTTTCTTCCGGTTAATAACATAGAATTTGATTAGAAGGCTATTCATCATGATCATGACTTCATTCCCTCCGCCCAATTAACAACGAAACC